TTTTGGCAAGATGGGTTAGAATGAAAGGGGTGGGCTGGCCTCCTCTACACACTCACAACCAGATAAACACTACAGTCCCTGGAGAACCAATTGCTTCACAAAGGCAAGCAGAAAGGACAGGAATAACTGAAATATAGTTTTGCTTAGCATGCTGCTGGTGCATTAAATTGAGTCAGTAGTTAAGAGTGGAACAGATACACATGAGGCAGCAAGATGAGCTTTAGTTTGAATTATGGCTCCATATTTGCAAGTGGTTGATATCTGACAAATTATGTAATTTCCATGTATTTGTTCTTCTCACACTGAAGGACAGCTGCAAGAATCAAATTAGATAATTCTGTAATAGCTCAGAATTCAATAATTCCAAATGAATGGAATTATGGGTAGATTTCTTTTTACTTTGTCTTATTTTTATTTCCATTGATTTTATGAGGCTGTTTTTTCAGTATATAGGAATATATTTTAATTTTAAAACTTTTTTTTTAGATTTATTTGTTTATTCATACAGAAGAACTGGGGTACAAGCCAGAGATGCGGAGGGTGAGAGGATTCACCAGAGACAGAGTGGGGAGCAGAACAGGCAGATCAACGAAGTACACTGCTGAGGGGAGCAGCGGACGGGTCAGGAGGGGTCTGTCACGCCATGTGGTCACCTCTGGATCTAACTCAACGGAAGTGGCTTTAGCTTCTTGGTGTGCTTTAACCGCTGCGCCACCAGGGAGGGCCCATATTTTAATTTTATGTTAAAATATAAAGTACATTATACTCAGATATACTCCGATATACTCCATGTGGTATTGACTGTATGGCTAATTGAAGTGATAGAAATAACTATCTTTATTTGTACTAAACATCTCAAAATATCCTTAAATCTGTCATGTCATATATAGTTCATTTATTTAACAAAACATGTAGTTTTTATCATGTATCTGCCACAGTTCTAAACACCACATCCATAATAATCCCATGAGGAGGGTTCTGTTACTATCCCAGACTTACAGTTGAAAAACATACATCCAGGGAGTTTTCAGTATCTTGTCCAAGGTCACAATGGTGTGTGGGGTGCAGATGGGATTTGAACTCAGGCAGTCTGATGACATAGCCCAGCTCCTGAGTGCTATGAGGCCTCTCCACTGGTCAATCAAAATATGTTCAGTTATC